GCTACCATGGATTTTAGAGCAACAGGAGTACGATCTTTAACACTGAACATGTTTTGAATTTTAAAAGAAGTGAAAAGTAAGTTTGATATTTAGGTCTGATTTACATAAGTGCATAGTGAGTTGTTGGAATGTAAGGTTCACTACTTTAGAATAATAGCCGACGAAAGGGAGTTTAAAGTAATGTGTATTATGGTCATCAATGTTCCGGCTATATATATTTTGAGAGGAGGACCCGTCAAGATACCGCTTGAAAGTTCTTTCAATAATATGCGAAGGAAAAGATCGAATTACGTTTTAAAGTGTTGGAAAGTTTCTTAAGATCATTTTGAAGGCCAGAAGAGGTGTTGTTGATTTTGTAGATACGGTCAATAAGAGTTTGGATGAGGCCAATTTTGTAGTATGATGGAATAAAACTAAAGAAATTATTTTGTTAGGAGACCAGTGTAGGTTTTTTTATGAAAAACTGAAAAAACACAATCATTCGAAGAGTTGTCGATAAATATATCAAGAAAGGAGAGTTAACCATCATTTTCTTTTTCGAAAGTGAATTTTATGTTGGTATGCCGTGAATTAATGTAATCAAAAAATGACATAGTATCCTGTTCATTGTGGAAGACACAAAAGGTGTCGTCAATGTAATGCCTATAATTAAAGTAGAAGGCGAGTCAAATGGTTAAAATTATTTAGCCATGTTTCTTCGTAGTTAGATTTGTTATAAATGGTGCAAGTTGTACATCAGAAAGAATAAATTAACAAATGGAAGAATTTATATGATCCTGTAACCATTAAACGAACTAACCTCTAATCTGTTGGATGCAAAAGGCCGATGTGGTAGATGGTATTGTCTATTTTTCAATACACATATAATGTACATGCAGTCTTGAGCTTCCCTGCTACAGCCAGGTTCAGACCATCTTTAATAAAATTCTGAATTCAATCTTAACAACTGCATCTAATTATAATTAAGATAAGAAAGATGGTCAATTTTGAGCATGGTAAAGAATTAAAATAGAGAAAGAATAAATGTTTTTCATCTTGTCACGAGGGTGGGAGAAAAAAAATTTAAGTCCTCATGAGGAATCAAACCTCACACCTTCAAACTCTGCACTCTGATGCTCTCCCACTGAGCCACACACTCCATGGTGAGCAAGACCATTATGAAGAGCATATACATGTACGACATGTGTCCTGCATACTGCAAGGATCAGCAATTGTTGTTAGTGTCATGTATGTAAATAGAATGAGAAAGGTAGAAAAATTTCTTTCTCTACATCTTATTGCTAACAAGGAGGTTTATGATTTTATTTTGATACCAAGCCTCATCTTGTCCACCTGATTGGTATGGATTTGGCAACTCTTGTTATAAGTTTGTGGTGAGAACCTTGCAAGTGAAAGGCCTCAACTGGGAAAATGCCCGGAGAGCCTGCCTTGATTATGGGGGAGACCTTGCCAGTGTGGGAAATAAATCAGAAATGGACTTCATATATAGTAAATCTTCCAAGAATTGGAGAGAACATTACTGGATTGGGCTGACTGATGAGCGCAATGAAAGCCAGTTTGTTTGGAGTGATGGAACACCTTTCAAAAGTTCTGTTTATAATAACTGGAAGAGTGGTGAACCTAATGACCCAGATGGAGCACAAGATTGCGTCGAGCTGTATCTCCGTCATTGGAATGATGACAGTTGTAAAAACCAGTATAGTTATATCTGTGAAAGGCCTAAAGGTGTGTATGAAATAACAATGAAGCCTTTAACACCCAGAAGTAAGGTAATGAACCCTACTTATTATAGTTATGGAAATAAGGCCTGAAAAAAATTCAGGCCCATACAAGAATTAAACCCATGACCTTTGCCGTACTGGTGCAGTGCTCTGCAGCTACCAACTGAGCTAAGAAGCCAACTGGGAGCTGGTCATTATGTTGGTTCATAGTGCAAGGATGTCTTTCATACATATCATGAAACTGCAGTACACATATATGATCTTCATTTATTCAAATTCATTTAATTTAATTGAAAAAAAAAATTAATGAAGAACTTTATTTAGGTGCCTATTTTTTCAGCAATAAGCTAAGGAGGGACACTAAAAAATTTAACTTTACTTATGAACTCTTTCACTCCCAAGATCTCATCAGTTAGTCTCCTTTGTTACTGTTTGCCATGCAATTCATTTGATGTGAGATAATTTAGAGAATTTGATATCGAATCAAGTCACAATTAATCCCCTAATTGATACTTTCCTTTAGTCACATCACTTGATTGCTAGTAGTGTATTGTTAATTTTTTTATTTTAAAGAAATATTCTGTCTCACTTACTCATGCGAGCTTATAAGTTAAAGGGTTAGCCATAATAATGTAATTTGTGGTTCTTCTTAAAGAAACAACACTTGGAAAACATACCTTTTCCTGTGTCTTCCATTTTTTCTCTCTTAATTGTTTTGATCCCATACTCAGTATCATAATTGCATGTTCTCATCTTTTCTCTCTGTTTTGTTTAAAAGCAATCAATTATATTAAACCAGAAGTTAGGCTAAGCTTAATTAATGAAAAGTACTAGTTCTGTGTTATGCAGAAAGAATTAGATCAGTTTCTAAGTTTGATTTATCTCATTATTATATTGATCTATGTGCATTGTTTTCTGTTTCATTTTTTCTCTCTTCTTTCTAACAGGAGTCCCTATGCCAACCTCAAATACATCATCACCAGCCATTTCTAGTGAGTTCAACATTTTAGGTGCATTCCTTTATTCAGTGGTATAGAAACTAAGCCAGTTCAAGCAGGATTCGATTGCAGTTACTGTGTTAAATACTGAATTGTCAATTTTCAATTGGAATATTAAGTGAAAAATTTCTGTGTCCTTTTTAATGAAATGCTCAAAATTTGTAAGGGAATTTGAAATTTTGATGGGAAATCTATCGCATTTCTTTAGTAATAGTAGTCTTCGAGTGTTGAAGTTGAAGAGAAATTCCATATCTACTGTCTGAAATATTTTTACTTTTTGACAACACAACGTACCCTTTAACTCCCATAAGTGGTAAACATGTAACTTCTCCCTATAAAATCCATACTACTCAAACTTATGAGGTAGAGTGAAGTTTTTCTCCTGATCTAACATTTAATTCTCAAAACTATTATTTATAAAGAAAATCTGTGCTAGCTTGAGGGTTAAAAATCTTCAGGGAGTTAAAAGGTCACAAACATTAATCTTTGAATGTTGTCCTTCAGAAACATTTTGTAAAACTAATGCTGCCTTGAATTACTGTTAAATATTGTAAAATATCATAAAAGTCCGAGCTTTCGCCTCTCGTCTGTCCCTGATGATGCCATTGGGCGGCAAAAGCTCGGAGTTCTATGATATTTTACAATATTTTACAGTAATTCAAGGCCGCATTAGTGTTCTTATTGTTTCACAAACATTAAGCTTGTGGTTCCCCTGAGCCTTGCCTTGAACTCACTGTTCTCTGAATCTCATTAATTAAAAATGTATTTACCACACTGAGTTTATTTTATGGTTATTAAACTAGTATTGATAAACAGTGTGATACTGCATGGGCACATATAACTATTTAACAACTCTTCTGTAGCCCCCATTTCCTGTCCTATTGGTTGGGAATATTATGGGTCATCCTGCTACAAGTTCAGCTCACTAAGGAAGAAGTGGACTGATGCTGCAAAAGACTGCCGAGCATTAGGTGGACACTTGGTAAAAATAGATGATAGCGACGAACAGCATTTCATATCATTCAAGCAAAGCAAGAGTCACAGAGTGAGTTTACATGCTTCAATTCCTGGTGATCCTATTCATTTTTCTCCCATTATTTCATTTCCAGTGGTGGAGCCATTTGGATAAAAATTTGTAATGCAGTTCAATAACAAGGCTAGCCTCCAGGGTTCCTGATTAGTTAGAGCATAAATTCTTACATGGACATGTATATTAACCTGGAGAATCCTGTTAATGCTGTTAATCCTCAGTGTCATTTCTGAAATATTTGTGGGATTTCAAAGAAAATTTAGTGTATAAGGAATGATAAATTAAATAAGCATGAATGATCTCTCAGAGTGGGTGGTAATTATTTTTTCCCATTCTACCTTTCTCATGAAGATATATACAGATACTTGCACTTCATTCAAAGCCCTCCATGCAGTGTTTGTGTTGAAATTTAAATCCTATTTAGATGGCCGCCCACATCTTGAGAACAATTGTGCACCATGAACAGGTTAAAGCATTTAAAATATGATATATGGATAAACAGTTTCCATTTTATGTTGATCTCAAATAATTAAACTGTTATTTTTGTAGACAAGATGGATTGGATTAAATGATCTTGCAGTTGAGGGAAGTTTCAGATGGGAAGCTGATAAAACACTGGTAAACTACACATATTGGGCAACAAATGAACCAAATAATTTTGCAGGTTCAGAGGATTGCGTTGTAGTTTGGGCTTTTTCTTCAGGAGGAAAATGGAATGATGACTATTGTGACTCAGAAAACTACTACATCTGTGAGAAACCTGGTGGTATGTAAAGTTAATTGCTTGTTTTTAATCAACAGTTCCTGAAAAAACCTTTTTACTCAGCTGGAATGAGTTGTGCACATTGTAGTTTGGAATAACTTCCATTAAATGCATGACTTGTACACTTTCTAAGATCCCTGCAACTGTAGTTCATTAACAACCTCTCTGAATATACTGGCCAAAAGATAGAAAATCCTGGGCCAGGTTTTTAAAAACTGGGTTGAGATAACCTAGGGTTAGTGTGCCTAAAGGCAGTGGAAGATTGCCAGGATACTGTATATAACTGGCTTTTTTTAAACTCCTTCCAATGCCCTATATGCTTAGGGATATTTAAGGGCTTTGGGCATTTGCTAGAATATGGTACATTCTTCACTAGCATCTGATCTATAGTAGAAAATAGAAACCTGACTAATGCTTGCAAGCCAGCTGTGACTATAAATTAAAGGATATAGATTTCCCCCTTGTCCAAACTTTGTACCCAGTTAGATCCTCAGGCATGAGCCAAGTGCACATAACATGTGAGATTAGGCAGGTATACATTATGCATGCTCTGAAAAAAAAGTGAAAAATGAGAGCCTATTGATTTGGTTTCTGTGTGGTTTACAGGGTTCCCACACTCCTTGGAAGTCCTTTAAAGTCCTTGAATTTAATTTTTTGTTTTCAAGGACTTGAAAACCGGCCCTTGAATTTAGACTTGGGTCCTTGAAAATTTCTGAAAATTCCTTGAAATTAAGTGCAGATGAATCATAGTCAAAGTTTTCTTTTGTTTTCTGTGTTGAAAGCATAAGTTTCTGCCACAAATAATTGTGAAAACGAATTTTCCTTTCATTCCCGCATCCAATTATGATGTCTGACATATGAATTTTATACATTTTTTACTTGATTGGTGCATTGAAATAACCTTCAGTTGGTTACTTACCTATTAGCTCCTATTTAATGCAAAAGGTCATTTAATTTGAGAGCCAAGGTCCTTGAAAATGATCTAAAAAAGTCCTTGAAAGTCCTTGAATTGGGTTCCTGAAAAAGTGCAAGAACCCTGTGTATATTCTAAAATACTTTTCACCCCCATGTTGTTGAAACTGGTGGGTATTTACCTCTCTGCTTTGCAGCTCTGTAAATGTCTACTACTATTCACCCCCACTGTGGTGAATAACTGTTCATTGTATACCATGATTAATCTTACTTGGCTAGGTTTCCTGTGGATGTTGGTCATAAATAATGCTTAGGTTGCTATTTCCTTTAGGGTCACCTCAGTAAGGTATAATCTAATGAAACTTTTTTCATTCATCTAGGTCAAAACCTATGTCCATTAAATTGGAGAGGCTTTGGAGACTACTGTTATCAGTTCAATGTTCATGGGGCCCAGTCTAAGAATTTTGTTGATGCTGATAAAGCCTGCAGGTCACATAACAGCGGGACTGAATTGGTTAGCATTAACCAGGGAGCTGAGCAGGATTTTCTCTTGAAGTCTCTTAAAGACATGAGAATTTCTAAAATTTGGATTGGACTTAATGATCGTAAAGTGGAGGGGAAATATGTGTGGACAGACAAGTCCCCTCGCACCTATACAAACTGGGCACCAATGCAGCCAGCCAATGGTTTTCTTGGAAGTTTGTTTGATTGTGCTTCAATGGATGCCGATTCTCAGAATGGCACCTGGAGCATGTCAATGTGTCATCATAAGTTGGGCTATGTCTGTAAGAGAAAAAATGGTAAGAAAAATTGTCTTCATTAAATCATGCACAGTGAAATATTTCCGATGAACTATTAAATAGACATTCAGCAGATGGAATAAGATATGAACAGTTTAAGATCATGAACAATAAGGAGTAAGTTAGTTAAGAACCATTCCAAAATGGGTCAGTGTGTGCGCTTGTGAAATATGTAGCATTGGTGTTTTAAGGCATTGTTGAATACAGCTGTATTTTCCTGGCATACAAACTCGCTTAAAGAATCGTGTGTTTTCCAAAAAAATGCAAGTGAAATGTGGATTACTACTTCATACACCACTCTTAATGGACATTGTATCTATTAGGATGTGCCAGAGGAGTTCTTTTATTTGACCATGTAGTGATTGGTGTAATTGTAATGTGTTTCATTAAAGGTGGATCTGGGGAAGGGAAAAGGTTGAGATGAGGAAGCTGTGGTTAAATCAAGCTCTAAGTGCTTAAGATAGAAAGTGTGGCCTTTTTTTCGCATAGCTGCCCTGAATTCCCTTATCCTGCAACTGCTCTCTGTTTGATCCATGTCTATTTAAGGGTTATCAAATTTTAAACCTGGTTTGTTTTGTCATAGGCATAAATCAGTGTGATTCACCATTTGGAATGGAGGATGGGAGCATTGCTGATAACCAAATATCCAGCTCCAGCAATTATAACTTTTCCTCTCGAGCTAGTCAGGCCCGTATTCGTTTGGAAAGTGGTAACTTAACTACTGGAGCTTGGTGCGCTGCACAAAGCAAAGTGGTAGGTTATTTACCAAGCCGTGATACTGATGGCAAGGGTTATGGAAATCATCGACTACTCTGCGAGCAGTCCCTCCTTTTCGGCGAACTCAGTAAAAAGAATCAGTGCAAAATGGGCGCCTCACTCCCAGAGCTCCCCGCGGCGCGTTTAAGAGGGACATCGCCTAAAAGGAGAGACTGCACGTATAATCTACAAAAATCTCTAGAGACTCTAGAGTTTAACATAATTATGCAAGTAAGTAATTAAAAATTTGTAAGTCATTGCTATTGCATGAGAATGATAAGAGCAAAAAGGAACTTGAACAAGCGAGGGCAGCAAATAAAAGATTGGCAGCTTTACTTCAGTCCATACCTCAACACTGTGATGATAATTACGTTGGAACAGTACGTTGAACAATGTGTGGCTTTTGATGTGCGCAATTTCAACATGAAATCACTTAAGGGATCACACCTTTTAAGTTTTTTGCTTACAGGTCGGGCCCAGTTGTTCAAAGGGCGGATTGCGCTGTCAAACGGACAAATCGCTATCCATCAGGGCCCAGTTGTTCAAAGACCGTATAACGCTATCGAACTGATAAATCGTTATCCAGCCGATAAGTGTTACCAAAATGTACTGCGCTATACACCGGATAGAGAGTTTTCCAGTGGATAGCGTTGTCCAATCCTCGAACAACCGGGGCCAGATATATTTGTGTTAACCAAACGTACCGCCCAATGTACTGGTAGAGATGTATGCAGCGGATGACGTTATCCGTCCTTCGGGGCCGAAAGGGCAGCTATCTGTTAAGATTTTCCCTTCAGGGGTTAATTCCTTCCATGTAAGTTCTTTTTTTATTGGTAAGTTTGTCCTATTGGGAAAAAGTGTTCACTTGTTGTTTTGTTTATGTGCGTGGCAGGGTGAATATATACAAATTGATTTGGGAGTTGTGCGTCAAGTAAAACACATTGCTCTTCAAGGAAGGCCAGGATCTTCAGACTATGTGAAAACGTTTTATCTCAGATATGGAGACAATGGCCTGGATTTTAATAACTATGGTGAAAACGCCACAGTCAAATATAAGGTGAACAGATTACGATTTTCCTTCACATGATTCTGATATTTAAAAACGTTTTCAATCAGATTTTAAATCAAAAAGAGGATTTGGAACAGTATATTGTTAACTAATGGTTACTACTATCATCTGATGAAGGAGGTACTCATCCAGTCAGTCAGGCAAGCAATCAGTATATTAGTTAGTCAATCAGGCGATCCTCTTGTGAGTCAATAACTGATGAAGGAGTTAGTCGTTCAATCCTCTGGCTGGTCCATTGATGTTTGCTCTGTCTGTTAGTTTGTCATCGAGTCACCATCACCACTGTCATTACTGAAATTGATATCAGTCGTTTATGTTTTCGTATCAATGACCTCTGTCTTCTTGGAATTTCAGACGTTAGGTGGAAATATCCATAATGCCGCGTCCATCAGCAACATTGCCCTTACTGAGCCCATCTTTGCCAGATTTATCAGAATTTACCCTCTTTCGTGGAACTCTCGTATCTGCCTGAGAACTGAGATTTACGGCTGTTCATCACAGGGTAAGATCAAACTCAGCACTGTACACTGTTGCGTACTTTAACAAGCTTTAGAGCGCATCACCAATGAAAGACGTAGAGCCAAAACCAAAGTTGTCACAATAGCCAATCAGAAGAAAGTAAGATATCACAAGGAGCCAATGAGAGCTTAAGTTAAAAACTACCCACTGCCTGAAGCGCGGAAAAATGCGGGTGGCCAATTCCCGATTGTTTTTAGTCTTGAATCTTATTGGCGGAGAAAGTGGCCAATCACATCTAGCGAAGTAAAGCAAAACCAAAGCAGTGCCTGAGCATTTTCGACACCCAATTGAAACAAACTTATTTTCTAATGGTCTTATTTAAATCCCACTCGTTAGCCTCTTCCAAGAAGTGCGGGGTTGGCTGGGAGACTGGACCTGATGAAACTTGCTACCAGATTAACTCAAATCAGTGGAAACTGTGGGCAGGTTTGTTTTGTTTTCAGCTGTTATATCGGATAACATAGGTGGCTAAGTAGGTTAATGTGTTCCCAACAGATTTCTAGATTACACAAGCTCGTGCTTTCTTGCAAAGGAAACCGACTTTATTAAGCTCTACTTAAGCAGAAGTGTTTTTTTTATTGTTCGTGTTTTATTTTTCGACTAGACCATCTAAACTTGATGTAAAGGTAAAAGCCAGTGACACTGATCAAATATTGATGTGCACAAATTTTGATAAACTCGCGAATTTCAGGAGCTCAGACAATACTCTTTTGTGTTAATTACGGTACGGTCAAACCCTCAAATATAGGCGAAAACGTCACGAGTATTTTCTCGCAGGCCCCCCTGGTTTTGATAAAGTCCAAAAATGTTTGCAATCTCCTAATCGCTTTTTTTGTCATGAAAATTTGGATATGATTGATTGTACTTGCAACCCCATGACATGGGCAATACTGAATTCATTTCCGTTGTAGATGCACGTGCATCTTGCCTGAGCAGAGGCGGTGATCTAGTCAGTATAGTCACTATGAAGGAGAAGAAGTGGTTGAACAATCGATTACAAGCCGTCAGCGGATGGGCTTACTCATTTTGGCTGGGACTGAATGATAGAGATTCTCCCAAGCACTTTTACTGGAGTGATAGAAGTCCTTACAGACTGACCGCATGGGATGCTGGTTACCCCACGAACACGCCAAAAAGTGAGTCTGATTTCTTGATTGCTTCGAATTTAAAGTGTGGCATTTAAGACAATTAACAGATTTTAGAGAGCATTCAGATTTGACGGTAAATTTACAGGCTCTTGAAGCACTCTTGAACTACCAGAAACACGGGAAAAACAGTCCGCACAACACAGGGTCTTGATGTGAAAAATTAAACTTAACCGTATTCACATTAACTACGTAGACGTTTGTTCAAGTCTCCATAGCATCAAGTACCTAGGAATACCAGTCAGATACTAGTCATTCACAGGCTTCATCAATTTTCACTCTTGGCGAGGAGAGGGAGTGGTAATAGTAAAGTGTCTTGCCTATGAACGCAACATTTGTGGTCGGAATTCTCTTTGTCTCAAAAAAAGTAAAGTAGAAGAAAGATGTTTATGGTTGTTGCGAGCGGCAGTACCTAGTCACTCATTTTACTCAATCGCTTACTGAAGTTTTTTGTTTTTTTAATGTATTCTCTCTTTTTAATCGTATCTTCCTAGCTCCAAAAGCTTGCGTTGAGATTGATACAGTCAGAGGGGCTTGGAGAGATGTTAGCTGTGGAGAATATCGACCATTTATTTGCAAAAGGAAAATGGGTGAGTTCAAGTACGGTGCTAGGTACAGTCGAAACTGTATTTAACGGTCACCTTTTATTAAGCAGTCAGTTGCCAAAGTCTAGAATCTGTTTCCCCTTAATCGCTGTAATTTTCGCCTCTATTTAGCGGGTGCGATCACCCTTGACTACGTCTCAACGGCCTGTTTACATTGTCCTCTGCCTGTCTTGAACGGTCACTGAAAGCGGAACCACTCAAATAAGACAAAAAATCATTCAAGTAATTTTTGATCCATGTTTCTCTGTCAGAATCTAAAAAAAGTAGTATTTTTAGTAGTATTATTTTTATTAGTAGTATTATTTTTAATTAGTATTTTAAGTAGTATTTTCAAGTTAGATTCTGTACATTAAGTGGTCTATTATGGCATAAAGTGGCGTTGTTTACCGTTTTTAATAATGCCTCTAATCCGAGGAACCTGTATTTAGCTGTCATTCCCCGTGAGTGACCGCTTAATACAGAATGGACTGTAGAAGCATTTTTACGCCCGAGTTTCTGAGTATACGCTTTGGTAAATGTATAGTGAAGTAGAGTAATGATGTTTCTATATTAATTCTCTCCAGATTTGTCTTTGAAGTACTTGATTGTGTAGTTCTTAAAAATAGTAATTGAACAGAATGCTAATGGTTGACATTTGATGTAACTTTTTTGTTATCAGCAAATGGAGTGAAGACTCCGGTGACAGGAAGTAAGTTTTCAGTCAAATAGCCTTGTAAACTATGATTTGGGGATGACTGAATTTATTGTTCAAAGGTGTGGCCGGTGATTTTAAAGTCGACGTCCGCATGGTTGGCTGTTGATTTTCGTATTATAAATGATGCTGTCCTGTTAGTTAACTATCGTGCGGTGGGAATTAACTCCAACTGACCTGAAATTCAATTGCTGGAATCACTTAACGATAGTTGCCGCGCAGCATTGGGGACTAGTTATTATTTATCGCCCTGTGGGTGGGAGGAGTTGTGGGTTTGTAGGATTTTGGGGGTTATCATATGGTTTTAAGGGGGAATGGAGGGCTATAAATAATGACGGGTCTCTTAAAGGTTTGGATTTCTAGGCTGAGGTAAAGTTTAAAGTCAGTGATCGATATTAGAACTCCTAGACCTGACCTTCAAACTGCTTCAATTATAACCAACAAAACTGGCATTATTGTTTGCATATATTTGTATATTTACTGAACTCTCTGCTACGTTTCTGTACTAATGCATGTTTATGATTTTTTTTTTTTTAGACTGGATCAGTGGGACAGATTACTATTGGCCACTCGATAAAATTGTCAAAGGAAAGTCGGTTTTTGGAACAGTCCCAGCTGCTGTTCACGGCGAAGTGAAACCATCCAACTCGTCTCAAAATAGACGCAGCGTCGTATACTTTAGGGGCTATCAGGCGTACTTAGATGTAGGCCAGTTTCAAGATCCCTGCATGTCCAACCTGGATAAGTGCGAGAATGGCATCACTGTATCATTTGTTATACAGTTTGAGGATGATGCAAAGACCTGGATGACAAATACTTTCATTGTGTACACAGTCGGGGATGTTTTGCAGAGGGGTCGAGGATTTGCAGTTTATTACGTCAAAGGTCAATTGCACACGGCCGTTAACACTCGGCAAAAGAGGTGGCATGTACAGAAACCTTTACAAACCGGCACAAATGAATGGCACCATGTTATGTTTACCTGGCAACTTGAAAAGGGTATTGTTCTCTACATAAATGGGAAGAAAAGGTAAGGCTTCTATCTCAGGCTTGCACAAAGAAAGAAATTTGATTTCTTCATTGTGGACCCGAACTATAGTCTGATGTAAGTGCGCTTTGGATGCCTCACCCTTAAGTCACTAAAGTGCCCTGTTTGGAACTTTTCTTTGCGTGTATGGAATTGAGAAGGACAGTGAGTGAAATTCAATTGTCACGAGCGTGACTGAGTTAAAGAGAGAAAAAAAAAATCATTTTTGTTTCTCTTATGTCGCATTTTGGGGTTTACACATGTTAAACTCTTTTCCCAGTATTTGAAATACTTAGCAATACAAGAGGCCTGTTTTTGTCTTTGGTCTTAGCTCTTCTTTGTACTATGGGAATCCTTCCTCGCACTCCAAAAGTAGTGGTTCGTTTATTGTGGGAAGCCAGTCCACTCGACAGTTAGCTGGTGGTTTTCGGATGCGTTCATTGGCAGTTTGGAGAAGGCCGTTGACGTCTCAAGAAGTAAATCGTATTTATCTGGCCGGTAAGAATCTGGTTTTGCGGTGTATATAAAAAGATACAGCTAAACCTGTAGTAAGCGAACCATGTATAAAGTCCCGATCTAGTCTCCTTTTATTTACTGGACAACAAACCTCTCTCCAGGGGTCACCTCTATTAGCGTAAGCACCTACACCTAAATTTTCCTTCTTGTACCTTTTACCGGTCCGTTTTTTACCTCATGGTATGACGTAAGTCATGCTATGGGGTTTAGGGTTTGGGGGCGAAATTCAATTAAAAATCACTTACTCACTTTGTTAGACATTAATTTATGCATTAAACCTGGATTAAACACTTTTTCTCCCCCTCCCCGACAAGTTTACCCGTTCAAAGTCACGGTGTACGTATATTTGGGGGGTGGTACAGAGGCGAGAATTTGCCGAACTACTTGGACAGATTCAAAATGGTGTCCTGTTCCTTGAAGCGTGATGGCTTTTTGATTCCAAACTTGATCAAAACATACCTTTGTGGAGCCAAAAATGGAAAGCAATATGCTACAGAATACTCGACCGCACAAAAATGGGTGTCTGAGTCCTAAAAGTGACGATAACATGAACGATTCGTGCGTGAAGACCCAAACACCGCGAATATGAAGTGAGCTTAAGCTTACTGCAAATTGGTTAGCGTGAAACTTCGTTGATTTTATCTTGTAGCTGCCGGTATCTTAACTAATTCTCCACACATTCGCAATTTAAGAAAATTTTTCTCCATCAAAACGCTTACAAACACAATAATTGTGCCAGCACGTGTTGCCCACGATCAAAAAAACTTTCCAAAGAAAGCCAGATCGCAGGGTACGTCAAGGCCGCCAAAAATTCATACCATGAGGTTGCTGTAAGGAGCCTTTGAATTTTTTCTCAAGAAGATGAAGGCTTTCGTTCCGCAGTCTTAATACTTTAAAGGCGACAGCCATTCCGCTGCCCCCTCTAAGAAACACGAGGAATAAGGAGATAAAATATTAAACAAGCAAAAAGTTAAACAAACGAACAAACAGAGAGACAAGCATACAATTAAGTAAACTAGTGCTCTAACGAATCAAAGGCGTGCTTCGTTCTTCTATGGCAACTCTTTTTTGGAGAAATTGTTGAACGCATATATAATTTTTTCTACTATTCTCATAGAATTTGGATCCTGCAAGGTTGGTTGGAAAGACTTTGGGCAGTACTGTTACCAGTTCAATTTGGACAAGAAAACGTGGGCTTCTGCACAAATATCCTGTGTGAACCAGCAAGCAGAACTGGTCAGCATTCACTCTCCAGTCGAGCAGGCCCATATATCTCTGGAGACAGGACCTCACGGAGTAGACTCACCAGCGTGGATTGGTAAAAGAATCGCACTTTTTACAAATTAAATCGAATTCGTGTGTTTGACTTTAGAGTATAAGAAATTTGTCTGTCATTCAGCTCCAGTTTATTCAATTCTAACATTGGAATTGTCATCTCTGTCGTTAAAATTATAACTATATGAAGCTCTACTCCTTCCTACTCCATTCGTTTATGTAGCGTACTCCTCGTTTAGTCCTCCTTAACAGTTACAGGTTTTGTTTATGTAGCCCCAATCCTCTTGGTGTTAATATTTGTAGGGCTGCATGATCAGATAGTGGAAAGTGAGTTCCAGTGGTCTGATGGGTCAGCGGTTCAATTCACTTACTGGGATGGTTGGCAACCAGATAACTGGCGAGACTCAGAAGATTGTGCCAATGTCAGAAATATCAACGATGGCCGATGGAATGATCAGAGCTGTTATAACAGTTTGCCATACATCTGTAAAAAACCAAAAGGTGTGTTTCCGAATCGAAAAGGATTTTAAAGGAACAAACTTGATTGCGCGAGCAATCATTTAGTCGGATAGATCTCTATCAGAACCAAAATACGAATATGACACTAAAAGGGCGTTTTTGACTTGTTGGTATTCTTGTAGAGAAACTGAGAAACTGAAGAAATTGAAATGCAACTGCATAGAACATATAGTCCCTAACTATTTCACAATTTTGTTTCATAGAGTATATCCGATCTGATGGAATCATTACAACACCGAGTAAGTAATTTGATTCAAATAGGTTTTGCTTTCATATTATTAGTAACTGATAAATTAAGTCATCTCTAAACCAACTTATTTTATTTCAGCTCCCAAGAAGCTTTTCGTTTGTGAAAGTACATCTGCAGTTCTTAGTTGCCCAGTATCTACAGTTTTGACAATCAAATCTGCCATATGGGGACGCACTAATACGACCAGATGTTTTCAAGTCAGCGTTCAAGCCTGCAAGCTGGATGTTACCGCAAAGTTAAATGATAAATGCGGAGGCAAAAACCACTGTTCGTTAAAAGCCACCAATTTAGCTTTTGATTCCGACCCGTGTGGTGGAGGAATTGCCAAGTATTTAGAAATTGACTACGTGTGCCGGAAAGGTATGTTACACCCACCGCACACATCACTTGATAAAATCAAAATT